GGTAATTCCCTCACACTGTTCTTCAACAACTTCTTTCGCACGAGAATGCATGAATTTCTGGCAGTCACCTCCCTTAATGAGTGCACCGGTTTTCTGGGAGATCGTCTCGAAGTCTCTAAAGATATTCGTCAAGTGCTCCATAATCCTACTTCCCAAGTGCACATAGGGATGCTGAATATTTAACTTTAATGCGACATCCGTTATATAATCCAGCGTTTACTTGTTTTCTCAACATTTACTAAAATAAATCCATATATCAACGCTGTGCTCGTCTATCCGTACTGTGAAGGCATGGAAGACCACTGATCCGTTAATACTGACCTTACCGGATAGTTTTTTGGTTGATGGTATCCACACCTCTTCAATTTCACTTGTTTATGGTTCTTCTTCAAGTTGTTATCTTTGTTGTTGCCTTTGTCCGTCGCCGTCTTCGTCGTATAACCGCATTTATTCAAAATTTCATACTGTGGTTCTGCTATTAGATGCCTCTCGCAACAGCACTGAGCCAGCTTTCGGCCTCGACTTGCGAATACACTTTTTTTAAGAGATGACCTCTCCGTAAAAACCTTATTTTCCAACCCATTGAAAACGGTTTTAGCCTCAGCTAGAACAGCTGCTCACACGAAATTCAGCCTTGAGGACAAATTTTCTTATTCAGGCGCTCACTACGCTTTTAGTTAACTAATAATAATTGCAGCATCTACTTCTATTTCTGGTGTCTGGCTCTCAATTTTGTGATGAATCTTCGGATTTTGGTGTGTGGTTTTTATCCAGCGAAATTACTGACTGTCTGAAAATATTTTTGATTATCTTGACATCAACATGGTCTGGTTCTGTTCTGCTTGCTTCAAGTAGCGTCCCAATTAATTCTGGCATCAAATCTCCTTGTTTTTTACGCCCACGCGCTTACCGCCTGGATTTCAATCTGCTAGGCCTTGATGTCCAATCCTTAGCAAACTATGCGTAGGTAGACTTGGGCAGCTGACTATTTGGGCCAGAACGATTAGGGTCATGTGACCGTTAGGGACCTTGGCACAACGCAGCACCAAAATTCCGTCCATAACAGCAGGCGTGTGGGTTTGGAGCCTGTTCAGTTGACTGTTTGTCTTTTCAAATGCAAGCGTTTGTTGCCTATGATCTGGTTTCGACCAACCCTCTGATAAATCTGGCAACTCAGCCTGAGAGTAAAAGTGTAGTATATCAACATCCCTATATTTACATACTATACTCAAACGCCTATCTTAGTGATGCCGTTCTTCATGTGTCATTGAAAAACGTAGAACCATTTTAATACCCACTTGCACGAAGCAAAGGCGAAACCTAATCAAGATGCCTATTTAGTGGACCGAAAAAAAACTGCACCTGGCGATCTCAGTGACCGCTTAACTGTGCGGAAAATATCATGAAATGTTAAGGGCTTTGCAAATTCAGAACCTAGACTACGATTTTTGCCCAATTGACGCGTCCTTCAATTTAGTTACTGATTCCTCTAATCCAGTGACCTGCTGACCATTAATCTTATTGCAAAGTCATCTTGTTCCACTTCCGAAACCCGTTTACCCATCCCTTTCAAAGGAAACATGGTTGTCAACAGTCTAATTGCTCACCTTAATCCTTTCGTCTACCTGTTTCAAGCCCAAACAGCATGCTTGGCTTGCAAAAGTAGCAGCAGCAGCATCTGGCGTCCAAGTGAAGCCTTCCGTTACCTGTTGCGCTTGGTGCCACCTGCGTAGTTCCTTCTAAGTTCTGCACACCTAAAGCAGACACTGATTCGGCCGAATTCCATTGCCCATTTAACGCTTTATGTTCATTGAGATTGCTTTCCCAACGACGTTTCTGTT